CAGGGTAGCACTCAGGTTAAAGTTTTTAACTGAGTTACTGAAATAAGTCATATTTAAGTGAGCTGACCATGTGCATGAGGCTGAAATGGTATAGCATTCAGCTTTGACTTGGCAGCTGTGTCTTGATCATGTCATGAAATAAATCATTTATCCTGTAAATTTCAATTGCTGTATATGAAAACAGAGGATAATGTCCGTAAGGTATTACCAGCTGATATTACCAGCTATAATTAGGCCTCATCTACATGTAAGAAACTGAATTGCACAGGTATTCAAGTATACTAGATGAATATGAAGATGCTACAGCAAAATAGTTTGGTTATAGCAATGTGACTTTATTCTGATATCAGTACTCATACAGACTCTACAGGGAGAGATAATGTTGAGTAGCTGTTACATAACACTACAGAGCACAACATGCTGGTTAGTTTTGCTGTGGAGGCTTGATCTTACTATTTACATAGCACCTTGGAGGTTTAGACCCTGCTTTGTTAAAGCATTTAATCATGGGCTTAACACGTGATAGATTTCAGCGGTGGATTTGCATTTAAGCATAGGCTTACGTCAAGTGCTTTGCCTCAATTGAAACCTTGGAATCAGTCCTGCCTTCATTACTCGTATGAGGAATACTGGCATGTGAATACAGGCAATGGGCCCTTTAGGATGGATGCGATATGGATTTTGTTCATATATAAATAGTCCGGAAGAATGAGTGGCGAATGATGCATCGTCCCAGAGCTTATCTAGCACACCCAGGATTATGAATAGAATAGAATGCATTGATATTACAAATAATATATTGGAATTACATCTGTTTTCCTGGGAAACAAACTCAGCACTGTGATTAGCACCACCTGAGATTTTTTTAGTCTGGTCTTTGGGATGATACAAATACACGCTAGGAATTCATGGGATTACGACGTAGGCTAAACTGAATGGCAGGAACAACAGGGTGGTTCTTTGCACATTGCGTAGTCATTTCCACTCCACAAAACTGTAAAGCTCCAGAACTTTGCACCTTTCTAGGGATGACTGTGTTCAAAGAAATGGCTGTGCAATTGTGCAACCTCATAGCTTAACTTATATGTTTGACAAGTGCATGTTTTAGAGAGCTGTTTTTCCTTCTGTCAACAAAATCCCTATCAGACCCCACAAAAAACTTTTCCACTCAGAGCCCTACAAAGTCAAAATCACTCTGGGGAAGGGGCAGGATTGCCATATCCCTTCTGCAATTTCAATTAAAAGGCCTGATCCTCAAATGAACTCACACTCAGGGCTTTGCAGTGAGTCCTGAATTGTCATTCACTTGCTAATTATGCGGTCTATGTTACCGGTGATTAAGGAGGAGGAAATAAAGGCAGAGTCTGACTGCAGATCTCAAAGTGAGCTTTCAAAGATGACAATTAGAGAAACCCTCTTTGGACTTGCAGGCTTGATGTAGAGTCACAGACAGATTAAGTCTAGATCCAGTAGTGTTGTTTTGATTGATGGACAGTTCCAGCTGCAGCTACGCTTTGCATGGTTACATGTTAGCCCAATCAATGCGCATAGCAGGTGGGCCATGCAGAACCCACAACATCCACTGTTTACGAGGTTGGAAGTTGGCTTTCTAATCAGACATGCATGTTAGGTTTCAGTAAATCTGCTGTAGTGAATTTGTGACTCAACGCTTTTCAGATATAAGGAACTATTGTCAGTAAGCGTAAGTCAGTAATCTTAGCCACTAAGTCAATAAATACAAAGAAATTACATTATACTGCATAATGGATTATAAAGATTTTTAGCAATACCTTAGATAACTGTTTGTCTGATATTGTTTCATTGCAGGTATTTTTCCTGAGAGAAAATTCTGAAATTTCGAAATGATAAAGTCTTCCAGAAATGGAAATAGATTGATCAACAGGAAGCCTAAGATCCAAAAGGCGGAGGTAAAATAAGGATTGAAGCCAAGTCAGAAGTTGCAAAGGAAGGCAAAACAAAAGGTATGTTTTTTTAGCCATCCAGATTAGATGAGGAAAAGGAAAGAAATAGTGAGGTTCGCTTGAGGGAAGATGGGTTTAAAGTTAGCACGGGTGCTATCCAAAAATTAAATGATTTTGTGCCTCAGTTGTCAGTTTGCACAGTGACTCTGAACTTGGACAGAGGAATCTGGCTTTATGAGAGTGGATCTTGGAAGATGAAAATGACCCCTTTTGAGGTAGAAGTAAAAATCAGTGTGTGCTGTTTCAGGGGATCTATGCTGCAGTAGACTGAGGGAATTGGCATTTGAAACTGCGTTTCTACTTGCAAGGATATTTAGGAATATGTTAAAGTGGGAGTGGTATAAGAAATTTCAAACATGATTCCTGTATTTAAGATAGGAAAAAAGCTGTGATCTAGTTAAGTGCAGTGACATCAGTAGCCTGCAAGGCATTATAGTACATTTGGAAAGAAGAGTAATAGACAATATAGTAAGTGGAAAAATGAGATAAAATGCAGAATGGGTTTACCAAAAGCAGATTTACTAGATTAACCTGATAATCTTTCTTAGATTATCCTGAGCTTTTTAGACAAAGAAAATGGTGGTAAATGTAATGTATTTGATACAGAGCTACACTGAGAACTGTTTGACTGGAAAAGATGAGGATTAGCACCAAAACTGTAAAACAGATAGGACCTAGCTAAAGGAGATGATAACGGATGATGTTGAAAGAGGAAATACCAGCTTAAAGGGAGCTAAAAGTGACGTTTCTAAAGGCACAGTCTGGGGACAAATATCACTGAACATTTTCATTAATCAAGTAGGCACAAAAGAATAGGACCTGCTAGAGAAATGTGCGGGTGGCTGAAGGTTGGGAGGGACTGTCAATAGCAATGAGGCCCAAAGCACACAGGCAAAACAGAATATCCTCAGGGACTGGCGAGATACAAATGGGATTACATTCAATAGTTCAGGTTCAGGTAGCTGGGGACTAATGACAATTTCTGATATAAGGAAAGGCTTGTCAGTCGGAATGATGCAGGAGAGCTGGGCATATGTTTTGGCACTACATCAAAAGAAGTATTTCTAGTGGAGATAGAAAAAAATTAATACCCTATATAGGGCTCTGCTAAGACTTTTCCAGGAAAGTGGTGAACAATTGTGGCCGCCTCTGATTGAAAGAGAGAAGAAATTCAGCCTGAAGCAGGAGCAGAGAAAGGTGAGTAGTTTGATGGGGGAGTAGAGATTGCTCTTTAGCATACTGCAGGCTGCAAACAATCAGCCATAAACCTGATGGGAATAAAAAGAAAACTTTTAAGGCTTGGATGGTATTGTTACATAAACAAATAAGAGTAAATGACTCATGAATAATTTTTAGAAAGAATGTTTTAGAAGAAAGTATATAAGGAAATATAAGAGTTTTTGGAAAAGTTTTCAGGAAAAGTGGTGGGGGGAACCCCTCTAACTGATTCAGTGACAGCGATGGGTACGTTCGTGAGGAGATTCAGCGATACATTTGCACGCTGTAGCAGCAGACAGGGCTCCGTGACCCAGGAGGTTCCCCACAGTCCTGTCATCCCACTCTCATTCCTTCTGTTCCCACCTTTGTAAAACTCCATTTCAGCTTTTAACCCTGAGGTCCCCTCAGATGACCCCCTCAGCATCACTGGGCAGGAGTATGACGCTTACCCAGCCCGGGCAGATGAGGGTGGCAAGGAGTTCCTCCACCCTTCGGAAATTTTGGGGAAGGGGAATATTCTGCCTATAGCCACCCCCTCGACACTGAGAAGCGGGGGAAAGCACTCCGCTGAACTCCACAAAGAGCTGAAACGGAGCTGTTCAGGAACAGAGGCGGGTTTCTCCAGCTATTCTTTTAACTAATCAAACCGTCATTGTTTTCATCCAAAATGTTCAGCCGAAATTATCAGCTTCTCAGTGACAAAATGAATACCTTCCCCTCCTCCAACCACCAGGCTTTTCTGGGTTTCTACTGATATTTTTTCCATTTCCCATATTTAATGTTTCTAGCAGAATGAAACAAAAACATTGTAACATTTTCAAAGAAATCAGACACTTCCTGTGAAAGTTTTGATGGAAAATTTTCAAACCGCGCTGAGGCTCAGGAGCTGCTTGCATCAGGGTGTGGCCAGCTAAATCTGCTGGCTGAATCAGTGGGGGCAACGCTATAGCGTTGCTCAGACCCTGCGGACTTCCCCGTGGTTTACTCCTCAGAGGGCAGCATCTTTACAGCAAGCCACGTGCGCTGGCTGTGCACCCGCTTTGCACTCGCAGCAGTTCTGGCTGACCTTGATGCGAGCGCTGCCGAACGCGGAGGCGCTGCTGCCTCCACCCTCCCTCCTCCCCCTCGTACTGCAGAGACGCATGAGAACTGACCACAGCGTAGCCCGAAATGTTTTATTTTTAACTTTTGCCATACAACACGTGTATCTAAGGCCAAACAAAAAAGAGCCAGAGAATCGGGTATAAGTGCTTGTCAATGTCAGACGCAATCACTGTCAGAGCGGGGCTGGATTCTGCAGCTACCCTGCGTGCAGATCTCCTGTTTACTTCAGTGGTGTGCCGAAGCCACGGCGATAAATGCCTAGAGAGATGGATAAAGGCAGACAGACATAGATACAGACTGACAGAATCAACCCCCAGATGGAGGTTGCTTGAATTTACCAGAAATTAAGATGCTATGTTGCTTAAGAAAGAGTTCCAAGATCTCATTAAGTCTCTTTTATGTCTCCCTCTTTATTTTATCCTCCACCCTCCTACAAAAAATACGTTGTGTTGTTTATGGATTGAATTAGAAGAAAATTGTCTGCGGACTACATAAAATGTTTGCATTCTTTTCTACTTGCAAAGTCTGTGAGTGAAGGCTTGTGTTTTTTAAGGAAGAAGAAAATGCAGGAGGACATAATAATGTCATATATTCTAACTTGTTCTTTGCAAATCAGAACTTCTTAATATTTTCCTTTCAAATAAAAATATCATTTATCAGTATCAAATGAAGTGTTAATGGAATCAGCTCGCACACAAACCTATATGTGTGTATATTTACATATATATAAAAATAATATATACATTAAAAAAATCCTTACTGCGGAGAATGATCAAGCACCTTGTCAGCAATCCATATTATATTCGTTAATTTGATTCCTGCCAAAAAATCACTTAAGTGAGACCTTCTGATTTCTTTCTTTAACGCTTGAGGCTCCTTTCATCTAGGCAGTGTTTATTAACCTATTTCTAGAAATCAGCATAAGCACAAGCTATATTTAATCTGTTCTTTTCATGTGCTTTAGGGTTTTTTTGTTTTCAGTTCCACTGTAAGTAATAGAAATTGACCATTGGTCAGTATTAAAAATAGCCAGGTTCAAATAGTGACAACTGAAATAATAAACACCATGGTTTGCTGTATTCTTTGGGGAGTTTATATTCTTTAGGGAGATTCTGATGCTGATCTCATGCCAGGACTAATGCTAATGATAGCAAGAAAAGTATACTCACTTGAGGACTAATAATGTGATCTAACAGACTGAGCTTTGGGGTACAACTTCAGAGCTCTAGGGGCTACTTCCAATTTTCCTGGTGTCCTATTCCATGATCTTGAATAACAGTTCTCTTGCCTGAATGTCTCTATGTCCCCATCTCTACAGTGGATGTAAAAATATTGAACTCCTTTGCTAATTCAAAATCTGCACATTAAAATGTTCCATGACTAGATATTCTTATTAATCCTTTCATGTCAAAAGTTGACTTAAAACCCCAGTAACCGATAGATACTGCAGATCCCAGATCCAGTTTGAAGATGAACAGTGAGCATAATTTCTGTGGTGAGAGGAGAGACATCTATAGTCATGTGGAAGAAATCCGGAAATATGAATGGGAGACTGCCCCAAAGATGAATGTGGCCAGAATTTCACTCGTGCTCATATTAGGCCTAGAGTAAGGTAGCCTCTAACAAGGGAAACTTGCTGTTGTGTTCAGCACAAGAAATTTGTTTTGCTTCGATTTCAGCAAGGTTCTGTGTGGACACAGTAACCTGCCTTGAGCGTCACCAGACAGTGGACTAGAACTTAAGTCAGTAAGTCACCATATATGCTTTATCCTCTAGGATATCCATGTTTTCTTCTGTAGGTTCATGTCTTGCAGCACTGGCCATGAGCGAGAATGCCATACACACAAGAACTTAACCCAGAACCAGAATTTTAGGATGACTTATTGACAAACAGCTATGTGCAGCATAACCTGAATTTGTAATAACTAAGCCCACAAAGCGGTGCAATAGATGTTCTACCAGGAGCGGAAACTAAGACAATACCCAGCACTTTGGAAACAACTGAAGGTTTATCTTGATGTAAGCAAGCTAAGGGAAGCTGCCATCCTGTAACGTAAGAATAGAAGCAGTGAAAGAAGTGTCCAGCTTCTTAAGGAGACTTGGCGGCCCACACTTAGTGCTGCAGTGCTGCAATGACACCCCTCCTAGCTAATTTAAGGTTAGCTCAGGAACACCTGTGTGAATTGTGCTCTCTGCATTCATCGCAGTGTGGACACAGAATAAATATAGTTTGCTTGAGCCACTCAGTTGAAACACATTCCTGAAAGATGTTAAGCCTCACAAGTACCATTTGGATTTGTATATACTGGGAAATAGAGCAGGTAATAAATCCTTATACTATTTATTGCTCTGCCAATATGTATCGTGGCAATATTAAAATATATGCATGCATGCTTATGAATTTTATTTCTCTTCAAAGGAGTTGGCCCCTTTTACTAACAACCACAGCTTTGACTTGATAGACTCCTTTTTACCTGCTCTGGCTATAGAAATCTCTTGAGAATTAGAGTTCTCATTAAGTTTACTGGAAAGTGGAATTTAATCAAATGTATGCCAAAGCTCACTGTTAAAAATATGCAACTATAAATTGCATTTCTGTAGAAGTTGGTGTAATCCTACAGTGACCACTGAAGTCTTTTTTATTTATTGTACTATGAATACAGAACAGATAAAATTAAATCCTCTATTATCAATGGTTCCTATTTACACGCGTTGCTTGTCAAAGAGACTTTCTTTGGTCCTCACAAAATGCTATATAACATGACATCTTGCAAGTCTTCAGGAACATCCTGAGATGAAACTGAAAGATAAATATTGCAGTTGTGAGTCTTTCTGTCATGACTCAAATAATTTTAAAATTGCTGAGATGTATTCCTCTAACAATGTTAAAATTGTTCTAATGCAGGATAAAATGGTAGTTTTAGTCTCTGTAATTTTTATAGCAGCTTGTAATTTCCATGCACTCGTTACAATTCTTAGATCAGGAAAGATTGCAGGAGAAAACGCTTTCACTAGAAAATCTGACTCTGCTGCTCATCTTTGCCGTGAAGAGTATAGCTGATGTTCAGAACCTAGGAAGGCTTTTATGAGTTGTTTGATGCTGTAAGTGTCAAAGTTGGACCATTTGATTTGGATTAGCTCCATTTTTGGATTCCGTTAAAGGGATAAGTACAAGCCCACCTCCTGGTTTCTCCCCAAAACATACAAATGAGTGTGTCAGTAAAAGTATCTGTCCTATTTGGGGCCGCTCTCCAGCAAGCTAGGCGATTTTTGAGAAACGTGAAATGTCAAAGTGCAAAATTTGTGTCCTCTGGTTCTGTTTTGAATTGGTTTTATGTCCCCAGATTAGGAGAGCTATGATTACCACAGAATGGGCTTTAGGAGAAGTGTTGAACAATAAAAACCCTCAAAATGCAGGTACCTTGAGTGTACTGAGATCAGACAGAGTGCTGTTGACAAGTATCAGTATCATTAAATACAGTGCGCTGAAACTTTGCACTTACTTGGTGAGCGTTACCAGAGTGATCCTTTCAGGCTGTCTTTGGATTATGGTACTGTTGTGACTGTAGGTGTGGTGATACAGCAGAGAGGAAGAGCACGTATTTGCTAGAAAAGTTGATGAAGGTGGAAAAAGAGACCAGGCTTTTCAGCTCATGCACAGATTAGAAGAAGAGGAGAATAACGTAGTGTACAAAGACCTCTGTGAAGCTGTTGCAACAAGTCAGGGTGACTGTACATTTGGGAACAGCCTGGGTTTCTAGACACTGAAGGGGGTAGTTGTGCTGCATGTCAGTGTTTGATAGGGAATTTGCTGCACCCCTTTTCCTTCTTATATATCCCCGGAATATTCAGGGAAATAGCCCTGCAGTTAGAGA